GGTCGGTATTCCCAAATTTCGGATTTGTTGGATCAGTGCTTTAGAAAGATACGACTCAAACCTTGTCGGAGGAGTGTACCGAGCCCCGCGCTGAACGATGGCCCTGAATTCCGGCATGGATGAGGTGGGGAGCGCGAAGGCGATCGCTTCCAATACAGAACACAGACAATGTGCGATCGTAGGACAGCGGCACTTCCTCCACATTGAACGATCACCACGCTCGGATTTCGGAAGTGATCGATCACAAGCTGTTGCGTCATTTTCCAATCTTTGCGGCCGGTGATCTTTTTTTCTGTTTGTTTAGTTCTTTGTAGAACGCGAAGGAAACGACGCCGACCTCAACATTCCCCTCACGGAAGATTTTTCCGTTACACAAGTTTGCCATTTTATTTATTTGTAGGCCGCCAGTATAAGTACAGAAAACGCTCAGCGGGCCGTAAAACCTATAAACTGCACTATATTGCTATAGCAGGAAAGAGGGCCCACGACCCTTGACTTTTCGCATATAAAAAACTCTGTAAAAGATAATAGAGAACTATGAGTGGGGGGGGGGTGCTTTTCACTCCCCTCATAGTTCTAGCCGACCTGTGACAATGAGACTGTCACAGGTCGGCTCAGTAGATCGGGAGGTGAGCGAACACATACCGGCGCTCGCTCAGTTCTCGATCCCGTCACGGCTCTCCGCCGTGACAGGGGAGGGGATGGATTTCCCCCCTCCCCGCTCCGATCCTCCAGCGCTGACTGGCAGGAAGGAACGGGGGAGGGGGCGGGTACAGCTGGCTCTGCCTCTAGATAGGCAGAGCCAGCTGTCACTCACGCAGCTGGGCGGATCCCGGCACAATTGTCGGGATCCGCTCCAGCTCCGGCGTCTCAGTATACCGCGAGCAGCAGCTCCCTATATACTGAGCTTAGGGTGACGGGAGGACGCTAGTTTGTGTCCTCCCGTTACCCTAAGGAGAACTATGGGGAAAAACACTGACCACATACTTCTCCTTTAAGTTGAACAATGAAAATCACACGATGCTGCAACTTACTCTAAACTCAGGAGTCACATCTTAAAAATACATCCTGTCCTGGTGACAACGGTTTCAAATGACAGGAAGTGAAGGAAAATCTCAAACCGCAATTGTTTTTTTTTTTTTATTGTTTCACGATAAGATTTCTCTGTACAATTTAAACTCTCGTGGTTGGGGACTTTCTCATAGCCGCCATGACGTTGCCGAGCTCTTCTCGCTGCCGGATGCGAGTTCCAATCCTCTTCTTGATTAATTTAGGAAATTTGTCTCTTTTGGTCTTTGACACTTTCAGCAACTGCACGGCACGTCTTTCATACGGGGGCAAAGCCACATCCTGTGGCGATCATGTGACGGACAAACTTGGCGTGCTTGCTCAGCTGAGAGTGTCTGGACCTGGTGACATTCCCTGTCACTGGATGTCCTTTAATGAAGCCTACAGATATTAGGAACCTGATCGCTTTAGGGGTGTTCCCTGTTGGAGATTTACACTCACTTCCTGTCTGGTGAAACTGTAGCCACCTGAACAGGAAGTGAGGGGGAAATATCTTTATTAGAGTCACACATAGCATTTAAAGCCCCACAGGGGGTGCTAAACGTTCCCGCTCCTTCCAAAAGTCAAACAAAACAGGTCAGGCAGACATACTCTTTATATTCCTGCACCCGTGTGGTCAGCCGGGGTCCACTGACCGGTCGCTGGTTTAATTGATCTTGCTGAAGGTTCATTATGACCAATAATAATATAACTGCACCCAATGGTTTCTTATGCCACTGGCGAGATGTCCACACACCTGTCACCGGCATCACGAGGGCGTCCCTCTCTCCTTCCTGGATTTGTAATGCATTTCATCTTATGGAGAATTTAACAGAAGTGGAAGACGTTACCCCTGGAGTCCCCCCCAAGAGATACAAGACCCCCCCTTCTGTGTCTGTCCACCAGACCGGATATGGAAATATCTGGGTGGACTTGCTCTCTGCCATGGACCAGAACCCCGCACAGTCCTTGGATCCACGTTGCTAACACAGATGTCCTACAGCTAATAATCATCCAGGAGCGCCTACAGGGGGTACACACACTACTCCCATATCGAGCCGTGGCCCCATCTGGTCAACCGGGAGCCCAAACTTGGCAGAGGCTGCCTCAGTGCAGCATCCATTGCTCAATATGGGGACCCCTGCCAGCTAAAACTGGGGCCCGAGCTGGCTCCCCCTTCATCAGCCATCAGGTGGAATGACAGATCTTGAGCTGTGGAGCTTTTGCTCAGGTTGGGCGGCTGGACACGGAGGTGCACAAAGCTACCACGGGGACTGCTGCAGAGTCACTGCACACTAATAGGCAGTAGGGCCGGCTGGAATGAAGGGGGGAGGGGGTTTGGTAGACACAAAAGATGAGCAGAAAGCTGCGTCACTGTCAAAAATCATCCAATGGAAACATTTAGGGGGCACCTGTCATGTAGGCAGGTATAGAACCCCACGAATCCTAATGGTGGCCCCTTACTCATCACATACATCCTATATGCTGTTGCACTATATACACACACATACAAACCCAGAGAGTGCTCAGAGCCTGTACTGGTGGAGGGGGCAGTGTACAGATTATGGAGAGGTCCAGTGCAAAGCTCTCCACACCAAACTGTGGCACCCTTTAGCCTCTCAGTCCGCGAGGGGCAGAATGTTCAAATATTGGCAGTTCATCGATTCCAGCAATGGTCCATGTTGTGCGTCCGGAAAATATCTTAATTTAGAGAGGCCGGAAAATTAAATACGTGTTTGTCTTTTCTCAGTCTTCAGAGAGCGAGTTCTGACATGACGGGAGGAGGAGGAGGATCATTCAAACTTCTTCTTCAGTTTCTTCTGGAAGATGGCGGGCAAGATGGAGAGGACGGCCAGGATCATGAGGACGATGACGGAGTTCCAGGAGACCGCCTCCCCCGCTGTAGTCAGCTGGTACAGTGTGGTCCCGGCCTTGATCGCCACGAAAGAAGGAGGGGCCACGCCTGGAAATAGACAAAGGGTGATGAGCGGCCAATCGGATTGACAGTAAAACCTCAAATTTCAGCATTATATACAAATCAATTCATAGGAAATCGCGGCCTCTGGGAAGACTTCGCTGAGCTGGTAAAGAACATCTTTCCTTACAAGCATTTGTTTTTACAAATTAAAAGGAGAACTATGGGGTAAGTGTTTTTCCCCATAGTTCTCCTTAGGGTGACGGGAGGACACAAACTAGCGTCCTCCCGTCACCCTAAAGATGCCGGGGGTGCTTAATCTCATTGCTCTAAGGGCCCGTTAACACCAGTGCGTTTCGGCCCGATTCTGGCCAGAACGCACTGCTGCCAGCTCACTTTTTAGTGGGGCAGGAGGGGGCGTGGCGGGCCATTAAAGTGAATGGCACCGTAGCCACGCCCTCTGGCCGCAGTACGATCGCAAGGCACATTGGGGGGAATTTATCAAAACTGGAGCAGACAGAATCTGGAGCAGTTGCCCGTGGCAACCAAGCATCATCCCTCTTCCAATTTGCACAGATAAGATTTGAAAATGAGACATAGAAGCTGATTGGCTGCCGTGCAAATCTTCTCCAGCTATGATGAATTCCCCCCATTGTGCCCTCAGTCTGGTCCGGTGTGATCAAAATGCTGCAAGCACTATTTTGATCGCACCGGACCGCAAGCACAATGTGCTCTGCCATCCCGAGCTGGCGATCACATTGCGGCCGGAGGGCGTGGCTACGGTGCCATTCACTTCAATGGCCCGCCACGCAGCCTCCTGCCCCACTAACAAGTGAGCCGGCCGCAATGCGAGGCAGTGCGTTCTGGCCAGAATCAGGCCGGGAACGCACTGCAACTGGTGTGAACGGGCCCTAGGACCCCAGCTCAGAGCCTTCTCTGCTGCAGGAAGAACCTGTGAGGACAATCCCTGCATGTGGCCTGTACTGTGGGCTGGAGTTCAAGTATCAGCCAATGTACATGTGACTCCTTCCAGCCGTGCACGGACACAGGAAGTGCTCTTTTTCTTGCTGAGGGGTCGTGCACAGCTCTAAAGCAAACAATTAAACTAAAAATTATTTTTAAATGTTTATGTTAATTAAAGGCGTCCATTAACTGAGAAATAATGCTTTGTGCTGCATTTTGTTTTTCATGAGGCTTAAGATAGCCTTTAATGTCACTTTAAATAAAGCATATTCACCCCACACCCAATATTAGTGTAGAAGCTCTGGTGAACTTCATGCCCAAGAGGGTTAAAAGGAGAACTATGGGGGTCAGTGTTTTCCCCCATAGTTCTCCTTAGGGTAACGGGAGGACACAAACTAGCGTCCTCCCGTCACCCTAAGCTCAGTATATAGAGAGCTAGCTGCAGCGGATCCGACAATTATGTCTGGATCCGCCCAGCTGCGTGAGTGACAGCTGGCTCTGCCTATCTAGAGGCAGAGCCAGCTGTACCCGCCCCTCCCCCGTCCGATCCGCCAGTCAGCGCTGGAGGATCGGAGCGGGGAGGGGGGAATCCAGCCCCTCCCCTGTCACGGCTCTCTGCAGTGACAGGATGGAGAAGTGAGCGAGCGCAGCTATGTGTTCTCTCACCTCCCGATCTACTGAGCCGACCTGTGACAGTCTCATTGTCACAGGTCGGCTAGAACTATGAGGTGAGTGAAAAGCACTCATAGTTCTCCTTTAAGGCAGTGCTGGAACATAATGGCGGCCACACAAAATAACGACACTTTGGGCCCAATTTGGACATTCTCACTTAGGGGTGTACTCACTTTTGTTGCCAGCGGTTTAGACATTAATGGCTGTGTGTTGAGTTATTTTGAGGGGACAGCAAATGTACACTGATATACAAGCTGTACACTC